CAAACAATTCATTATCATTTTTAAGTTATGCTTGGAGAACCTCCAGCCTAGAGGTACATCTGAATGATTAGATCTAAGGGAAAACTAAACACAGTCAAAATAAAGCCAATAGAAACAAGGAAGAGGTCTGGTCCCCCTTCTCCTTTTAGAACGTTTTAGATGTATTTAGAATTAGTAACTTAGAAAAGCACAAAAGGGTAGGAGTCTGTGCTGAACTTTTTGCACGTGTTATGACTCAACATCACATGGGCTGTTTGGGGTGTTCCTTTAAACTCAGCTTGTCAAAATCTTGCTTCCCTTCAGGGCATCATTGAACATTGTTTTATCGCTGCTCTTTTTTCCTGTTCCCAAATGAGGTTTGGCTGCACTTTGATGTCTTACTAGTTAACTCTGACTACATAGTTGAAAGGAATTTTTAGAAACCTCTTGTTTGCCCCCAATGGGGTTGTTTCTTTAAATATCACTCATTTGCTTTTATTTCTTGTTACTAGTGGACCAAACTAATTGCCACAGATTGTCTTGACTCTCCTGTTTCTTCCTTTTTCAATCATCCAGAGTAGTTTTGTTTTCCTTTAAGAGTTTGTATATTAAGAGTTAACTATAATTCCCCAAACTTCTAGTAGAGAGTGTTCATGGGCCATCTATGTATATTAACAAATTTCAGCCAGAATTTAAGTGGACTTCATTTTGAATTGAGTGGATACTCATATTTACAGGGAGTTTTTGTGTCTCTTCCCTAAAGAAATAATAACATTTAGTGTTGAGCTGTTAAATTCTTTAGATCTTAGAGCATCCAACAGTTGCCTCTGAAACCATGTTTGCTTTATGATTTTCCACTTAAGTCAGGTTTACAAAATGTTTCTCTTTTAAATCCCAGTAAAGTATTATAAATAGAACAATTTAAGTTATAATGAAAAGTTTTTGTTGTACTAATACAGATCAACCTATCTCATCAATTCAGACATTTTCTAGCTCTTTGCAGTTTCCTTTTTGCATCCCACTCCCTCTGAGAAACAGGGTAGGTTGAACCATAGGAGAGAATTTCTCAAACATGTGCCAATTGAGTACAAAGTTTCCTTGTGCACAGAGTGGTGAAGTAGCCTTAACCAATTACCTCTAAATAGAGTGTTGAGCAGCACAGTTTATTAATAGTACTATGTACACTCATGTGTTTTTTAGGACAGTAGAGCTCTGTTCAAATGGGATGCCCTAAACACATCACCCATTCATGGTGGAATGTAAAAATTGCTCAGATTTAATGAATTGCTAAAATTCTGTGTCAGATTTTAAAGCACGTTTAAATGTGCTGCAGCTATAATAAGAAAATTAATTAGCATTGAATGAAAAGGGTGTTTTAATTAATATGACTGTTGAAACAGTTCTGACTTTTCGCAGTTCATAATTAGAATCCATATTCTATTGCATTTCTTATCTGAATAAATCATTGAAAATTAAGCTAGTAAATGAGATGTCACTTGTATAGAAGTAGTAGCACAAAGTAAGGTGAAAATAAGAGTAAGCATAACACAAAGCATTCATCTTCATGGTCAGTAAAAGGTTTCTGTAACGCTTTCTTTAGTGACTTAGTTATCTTTGAGTTAAAAGGAAAACTTCACTCTTAAAAGTTTTATTTTTATGAGTATTTCCCAGATTTTTTTTTTCTATTTTAAAGGTAGAAAATGTGGCCTCTACACAATGGTGAGGAGTATTTCCTACAACTGAATTTATGTGTGCATTAATACTACACATAAAAACTCCCAACCCAATGTAGTATCGTAGAAAATATTTTGGGATCCACAGAATATTGTAAAATTCTACATTAAATAATAATTATGTTTATAAAATTATCCACAATTCATTTTTAAACACATTTTGCCAAGCTTCCATAATGCTTGACAGATGCTAATAAAATTTTGTGTGATTTTATATAATCTCTTTGAAGTAGATGAGAGGTCATTAAACGACTACGGTAGGGAGAACATACACAACTGTTAGACGATGATATAAATACAGGGCAAGTGTGTGATGAAAGTTGCTCGTAAATTTGAGAAATCTAGGGTGCTAGCTTCTGATCTGCTTACTCAATTTCACTGTCATGTAAACATTAGCAGTTTTCTTTCTCAGACCTATTGAGAAAAGAATCATTTGCAAAATCACATGGAATCAGGTAGGAGAGGAATCTGAGCTAAGAGCCGACCTAGGTGTGCTCAGGAGAGTAGCCTGCTTGGCTGCATCTCACAAGTAGATGTTACAGGTTCCCTGTAATGGCTGCCATGTGTCACGTGTTCAGGGCGACCAGCAGGGGTTCTCAGCCCTGAGAGAATGCTAGAGTCACCTGGGGAGTGTTCAATAAACAGTGCTGCCCAGAATATACCTAGAGTCCTTACAGGTAAGGCTTAGGTAGCTGTATTTTTAAAAATAGCCAAAACTTGATTTTAATGCCATTAGGCATTGACGGATCCTTAGGAATCATTTATTTTCACTGCTTGTACCTGCTCTCCTGGGCATGGTATTCAAATTCCCTCCACATATGAGCCTCATAGCCCGAGGCCCAAATGTAGAAGGGAGGTTAGAGAGGAAACAGTAGAAGTGCACAATTCTCTTAGAAACAGAAAAAAACGTCCTCTGACCTGTTGAATATATCAGATTCTAGAGTGAAAAGGATTGCAAAGCCTTGTCCTTTTTATTTTACTTCTCATGAAGGCTTGAATTCCTAAAATGTATACTTTATTCGTAAAGAGGAATGTAGACTAGGTCAGTCAGGAACTGGGGGACAGTGAGGGATCAGGGCGACTGTCACAGGCCGATGTGGCTCAAAGTTGTACCTCCAGGGCCTGAAAGAGAGCCGGCTCCATTTTAAGTGATCAGTAAACTGTTTTTGAATGAAGAAATGACTCTGGAAATGTCTTGTAATCAGAAAAAAAGAGCCAATGTCTTTGAATGCTTGGGTGCTCTTTTGTCTTGCTGTTATTATTTGCTTTTTAAAAAATTCCAAATGAAAGCTCACATAGCCAGTGAGTAGCCACCAAGGTCTGTCTCCTTCACAGTTAACCACAATGCTAACTGCCTCCAAAGTACATGTGGAAATGTTTTGAAAGCCAAATTTAGTGCAAATATATTATTAGCATTATTTGTCTACATGTCAACTGTCTCCTGCTGATTTTCTCTCATTCATCTCTCTATGCCACTATCTAGCTCATAATAGACACCTAATAAATGTGTGCCTTTTTTTTTTTTTTCTGAGCCATCCTGACAACTCTCGGCAGCTCAGCTACAGCTCAGCTCAGGACAGGAATCGAACTGGCGACCCTGTTGCTCAGAGTTCGCACTCTTGAGCGAGCTCTTAACCAGCTAAGCCACTTGGCCAGCCCATAAGGGTGTGACTTTTTTTTAAAAAAAGGAAAAATCACTGACTTAGATACCATAAAAATTGAAGGCTTGCTTTCTGCCTATACCTGCCCCACCCCATGTGTTAAAACAGTGTTTTTGAAAATATTTTTCTGCAAATACAGAAATAGCCTATGTTTTTGTTTCTACATTATTCTATGGAACTATATTATTCTATGGCTTTATTTTATTCTTGATGATATACCTTGCACAATTTTCTACACCAATATTGAAACCTAAAAATAAAAAAAAAAATGTGTGTGTGTGTGTGTATACACACACACACACACACACATATACATGTATATAGTATATGTATATATAGAAACCTTTTCCTCAGTTTTTAACAACTGAAGAGTATGTCTGCAGTATCCATTTAATGACTTTTATGTGGCCATCTTTCTAATGATGAAACATTTTTTATTTGTTTGTTTCTTTTTTTTTGTATCCCATGCTTGAATACTTCTATAGTCTAGATCCTAGAAACTGAATTTCCTGATTGTAAAAGCACATGTAATTTTTCAATATGATCCCAAACTGCCCTCAAAAAAGCCCATGTTAGTTTATACCTCCCTACTAGTGCGTGACAATGCCCATTCCCATAGCCCACCACTAGGTGCCATTAAACGTCTCTTTCAAACCACATTTAATGGAGAAAATGATATTGCCATTTTATGTTTGTATCTGTATACCTTCTGAACACTGTACGGAAGTCTAAAATATGTAGTATTTTGATCTAAATGGCAGTTAATATAATTCATTTAATTTACAATATATCAAACTGTTGTTCTGTTTATTTTTTGAAAAATGTAACTTTGATATTTAAGTATCTTTTTCCTATGTATCCTAATTTATGTAACTGTTATCCTATTATTGAACATTGAATGTATTTCCAGTGCCTCACTAATATAATCACATAGCAAAAAAAACCTTGTATGTGTGGTTTTTTTCTTTTTATGAATAATTTATTAACATAAATTTTGGATAATGCTATTACTAGGTTAAAGGTTTTAACTCTTTTTATGGCTCTTGATAAGAGTTGTTAAATTGCTTTACAAAGTGTTGTATCAGTTTTTATGATCATCAAGAGCATATTACTATAACAGATTCTTGATCACCTTTCTGAAATGTGGTTTGTTATTTATTTTAAATTTAAGTAACCTATATAAGTTTACTTTCATAAATTGTACTTAGTGGATTATATACACAAAGAATGGTGAAATATGTATATTTTCCATGTTTAAAAAAATGCTTACTTTATAATGCTGAGAGCAACAAGATACAGAATGAGGTATAAATTAAATATGTAAAATCATATGTACCTCAACAGTAGATACTTTTAAATCATTGTTATTATTAAATGTATTGGGGTACTATTGGTTAAAAACATTATATACACTTCAGATGTACAGCTTTATAATACAGCATCTGTATACTCTATTGTGTGCTCACCACCCAAAGTTTGGTCTCCTTCCATCACCTTGTATTTTTATTTATTTATTTTTTTATACCTTTTTTTCTTCATATTTAATGCACATAGTGACGTGTATTGCAGCATGCCTGCATGTCCTCCATATATTCCTGGAGTCAAAAGATCTGTCTCTTTCTTTTAGGAAATTTATCAATGGTGTGGTTCCTCATGTAACAAATACGAGCGTCTGAAGGCAAGCCAGGTCGCCATTGCTATTCGGGACAATGAAAGGAAAGGCAGATCTCAATTAATTGTGGTGGAAGAAGGAAGTGAACCGTTTGAGCTTATACAGGTATTGTGACTTTGGTTGTTTTTTAAAAGGTTACCTACCACTCTTCAGTCGAGTGTGTGAGGAGAGGGATATGTGTATGTGGGTGTGCGCACATTAATTTTAACAATCTCTGCTACTCAGGCTAGGATTAGGTAAGAGGAAATATCAGCGTTATCTAAGTCATGGTACTAGAAAAACAGAACTGTCAAGACTGTTTTCTCTCACCATTGGTGTAACTATCAATTGGTGTAACTAACCACAATGAGGTTAGCCATTTGCATTTAAGTTTTCTCAAAGACTATCTTATAAACATACATTTAAATAATTTTGATATAGAGCAATGTAATGCATTTCAGTTACCTGATCCAGTGATAGCCTTCATAATCCAGTGATCAAATATTATATAATAAGATAACTTTATTGCTTATAATGTCTTTAAACTTTATTACTTTAATAACTACCAAACACAGACTTTCACATTAATGATGGTTTGGAAACAATTTTAATTCAGTGGGGAGATGTTCATGGTATATAACGCTAAGAGAAAGGACAGACTATAAAATTTTATATACAATATTATCTTAATATGTAAGCTTATATGCGTATGCATTTGGTGTCCTTATTGGATTTTATTCAAAGTTCTGAGACAGAAAAGTTTAAACAGTCAATTAACATATTATACTGTTAAATTAAGAAAATGTAAACCTGAAGAAAATTATGGATAAAAATATATCTTTGATTTTAAAACATTAGTGATAGGGATAAGGGACATACTTCTTAATATAAAATGCCATGTCTGTATTTTAGGGACTTTTCATTTTTAGGTTTTTAAAAATTCTAGAAAACACCCATTGTGTTTCCATTCAGTACATTTGATGTATACTGCGTTATATTGACAGCTCTCACTCATACAATAAACTGAACTAAATTTTCAGTGAGAGCCTTATTTTATTTTTTTTAAGCATTCAGTGGATTTTTGTTTTTATAAATGTTGTTTTATAGCCTGATCACAAAGCTTAGTAGTTATTTGAAGAATTAATTATGCACATATGATAAACTGGTTTGTTTAGACTCTCTTAATGTTGTACTTATAACTATAGAATTCGAAAAGGTCATGAACATGGTTGGGAAAAAAAAATCAAAACTTCATATTCACTAACTTCTTAATGAAAATTTTCCCTGATTGTGAATGTAGTCAACAAACTAGAGTATCATGATCAGTACCTGTGACTTTTCAGGTTACATTATCGTTATTGCAGATAACTTCAGAATATTATTTACTTTCATCACTACTTGGTAATTTTTATGAAAGTTATTAGACCTGCTGTTCAGTAATGTTATTTAATGGGTTAATGAAGAGGCCATATATTATTTTATCACATTAGTTTTAAACATATTTTGATATTTTAATAGTTGTATTTCAGTATAATTGGTTTCCATTGTAATACTTTGTATTTTATTTTACATATTTAAAAATATTTTTCTTAGAGGTTCATAAGCTTCAAAAGTGGCCTAACCAGGTCCATAGCACATACACAAAAAAGGTTGCCTTGTTTAAAATAATGGAATGCTGTTTCTTTTTCTGAAACTCTAATACATTGCTAGAAAAGGATTCTAAAAATCTTTTGAAATATCTTTTTTAAATTAACTTTTAAGTGACTTGTTTTTAATGAGAATCTTTCTAAATTATTTATCTTCACAATTTTTGAAAGTCTAAATATAATGGTTAGTAATGGCTTGACACCAATGACTTCTCAGCCAGTTAAATGGCCTTATTGTCATTACTTTGGATTCAATGCTGAAATTTTGGAACATGTCTTTCTAACACATTCGAGTGCTTGGTAACAAAAATATTGAAAAATAATTTTTCTGAGAGTTTTTTTGAACAATTGATCTTTTTGAGGTATTTCAGATATTTATTGATCAAACTATGATTTCCACATGATGTTAATTTGGTTTATCTCTAGGGTGATTATAAATTTTTCTTTCAAACCAAAACATTTTGGAGAGTAGAAGGTGCACTAACCATACAAGACACATATTAACTAGACTGTCTGGGGAAGCAGGATATGTGGTTAGCCTCTTATCTGTATCTTTAGTACTTTTAAAAGCTCATATGCCTAAATATGAAAGTAATCCTGTAAATGGAATTAATTAAAACCTGTAACTAAAGTCACATTTTACTCTGTGCTTGTTTTCACTGTAAACATGCACCTATTTACCATGAGAAGCTACACAGAAATTATGTAAAGCTTTTTTCTTGGCCTTTTATCATTTTATACTTAAAATAAATAATCAATGAAGGAAAAGGGAAATTGAATATTTTACCAGCCCCAAGGTCCCAAACTGTCTTCGTTGGCCCTATACATTCTCCAAACATTAGGAGGGAGGTTAAAAACAAATCCCGAGACAAAATTGTTAAGGTCAATAACTTATCAATCTGTTTTATATTCATTCATTTTTTAAAAGACACCATCTGGTAGATATCAAAAAGAGAATAAGAAGGGGCAAGTTGTTTAAATGACAACAGGAAACAACTAATTTTTCTAACCCGGAAAGACTTTTTTTCAGTCTTGTTGAATGAACTTGTTAAGTCTAGAATCATTATAAATGCTAGTGACAGAATACTGGAAGTGAAAATACTACAGGGAGATTGTAAGCAGATTCTGTGTTGCTGAACTGTTGGATTTATTGCTTGTATAAAAACACCAAGTCTCCCTGGAAAGTCATATGCACAATCATTGTTTCAGATTCTGGACCCAAAAAAAAAGAAAGAAAATTGGAAGAAAAATTAGAATATCATATTATGTCTCTGTTAATAAGTGCTTATTGAGCACTGGATTGATTTTCAGTGAAGCTCAAAGACTATTTTATGGCCCGATTAAGGAGATAAAAACGCAGTAGATCTAAAACAGATTGTGAGGGTCTGCAAACACCAAAAGTCATGGTCAGAATGATGCCACTATTAGTTGGAAGCCTTCTTTGATAAATTTATGTAGTTTATACTATATGATAATAGTATGTAGACTAGATTAACCTCCAAAGAATATCCCAATATAAGGATTACGTTCATCTTGTTATTATAAGTCATAACTGGCAACTTGAAAATAAAATAACTTATTCAGTCATTCTCTTGGCAAGTTGATCAGATGTTTATGATGTACTCCTCTGTGTATCTTGTAAGTAAAAGGTAGAGTTGAATAGTGCAGATAGTTCTTATTTTATCCTTTAGAGATACCTATTTAGGCAAAACGTAACGTTTTTGTCATATTTCCCCCAGAGTATTTTGCCAAATAAAATTTATATCTTATTAATGCTGTTCCAAGCTCCTCCAGGGCAGGGACTGCCTTCATAGCTGTTTAATCCTCACAGCTGTAACTCATTGCTCATTAATATTTGGATAATGAATACAATTAACTGTGACCGCCATGGTCGCAGACAACCATTCCATTTGTTTTCCTGTTTTTGAGAGGATAGTATTGCTTTTAAAACTTTCCTGCATTTTATTAGATGGTAATGGTGGTGAAGATATGAACAAAGTCATCCTATTTAGTTTTAAAACCAAGTATACTTATGTAGGAGCAATTACTGTTTAGATAAGGAGAATTCATATATTCTGCTAGCCCTCTTTCTACAGATGGGTCATTATAATAATCCCTTGGAAAGTAGTAACTGTGTCTTAAGCTTATTCATACTTGCTGCAATACTTTCCTTTGTAATAGGTCGATTTTTTTATACTCTGGGTGAAAGTACCTAGCACGGTAAGAAATAAATAGCTGGTGTCTTAATGCTTTTCATTCTGTGTATAAAAATGTGTGTTCCCAGGAGCTGTAGTTGGATACCCCCACCTGTAAACTTCTCCTTCCCGGGTCCGGTTACTGCCCGCCTAGTGTCCAGCCACCACGAAACCCACTCCTCCTCTTAGTCTCCAACACGTTGCTGCTGCCTCCTGCTGGCCTCTATTGCTTTGCTGGGCTGTTGCCCCAGGCCTGGTGCTGCCTCTTCTCACCTCTGAGTTAAGAGTAATTATGCTCCTTAAACCCAGGAACACACAGATGTAGAGCTTTATTTTTATTTTTTAATTTTTTTTAATTTAACATATTTAATTTTGAAATATTTCAAACATAAAAAGAAAGAATATTAATAACTGACAGTCATATCTACCAATTGTTATTACATTAACAATTTCCTGTATTGGCTTAAGATCTTTTTTTTTTTTAATTAAAGTTTATTAGGGTGACAGTTGTTAGTAGAGTTACATAGGTTTCAGGTGTATAATTCTGTAACACATCATCTGTATATCACATTGTGTGTTCACCACCCAGAGTCAGTTCTCTTTCCATCACTGTATATTTGACCTCCTTTACCCTCATCTACCACCCCTCTCCCCGCTTGCCTTCTGGTAACCACTAAACTATTGTCTGTGTCTATGAGTTTTTGTTTCTTCATTTGTCTTGTTCCTTTGCTGTTTTCAGTTTTATATACCACAT